TGCTGGCTCCAGTCGCCTGGGCTGTGGTCGTCGGTTGTGTTGGTGGTGGAATTGGGTGCGGGTCTTCAGTTGTTGACCTAATGGTGACTATTTGAAAGGGTTTTGGTCTGTTGGTCCAAATCTAGTTAGCCGTAGGGGGAGATTCTAGATCTGTGTGTTTGGACTTTGAACCGTGGGCCGAGCCTTCTTAGTTGTTCACCTTGGGTTCGACTTGTGGTGGTTCGGAGTTTTTTGGACTGATGGGAAGGGTTTTTTTTCTAGCTATTAGATATTTATCATGTTGTTTTTGTGCGTTTTGTTTTCTTATTATCCACTTGTGAGAGCTTTTATGTTAATGTGTTTGTTTTGTTAGTTTGTTGGTTTCTAGACTACCAGTGGTGTAGGCCTCCCACTAGATTCAATTGGGTAGCTGACTTATTCGGTTGTTTAGTTGTTTTCGAGTCTGTAATTATGTGTTATTATTAACATACTATATTGTCTTTCGGGAAAAAAAAAACACATGGATGAGTGGTGAAATATATATTCCAATTTATGTGGAACCATTTATTTTCTATTCACCCCGATTAAACCTGTGTGTTATACATGGGCTTGCAATTAGTTTTGATAAAAAAGAGAAACTTTTCGGCCCGATTGTTTTTGTATTGGTGCAGTAAAATTAGGCCTTACTTAAACCTGTTGATGGACAATGAAACTTTCACAAAGCCCAATAGGCTCTCACAGTCTGTCCAGGACGAAATTCATCACGAAAGAATATAGTACAAATATGTAGAAATGCTCACCTATCTACGGTGGACACATATTAATATGTCCACCGTTTATGTGTTATGCACACATTGGTAATGTTAATATGTTTAAAAAAATTTTGTACCAAAAAAAAAAAAATATGTTTAAAAAAATACATCACCAATGCGTGCATGTCACATAAGCGGTGGACATATTAACATGTGACCACCGTGGATATGGGAGGATTATTCACAACTCACAAATATGTGTATATCAATGGAAAAAAATAAAAAAAATGTCATAAATTAAGAGCAAAATTTTTAAAGAATATTCAAAGAGATATATTGACTTTTGGAGATCCACTGTGAATGAGTTATACATGTCAATTTTAGCAATATAATTATGGGAGATGCTACGGTCCCGTTAAGGAACTATTCTGTCGGAATTTGTAACCGTTAGATCAACTATTTGCGACGACTACATGATGATCTAACGATTGCAAACCCGACAGTATGGTTCCGTAACGGGACAAATAGCATTTTTCTGTAATTATAAGTGTTCTGGATGGGTTCGCTTCGGAGTTTGACCTCAAGTTAAAGGGCTTTTGGAATGTATCACATTTTCATTTTCGTTTTGTGATTCAACATTTTTTATCAGAACTTATGTTTGGATAAAAATATTTTCTGATATAACTAATAAGTTAATAATCTGTTCCTCTTTGTATTCCTCTCCCAAAACTCATCAATATATTTCCAACTTTTATAATTTAGTTTGCAATATTTGATTTTTATTATGAAGTCTTATTGTAGCTAAAGTTAGAGAAAACGAGTTATATGTAAATTTAGCTCTGCTCATTAAAACTCACACTTATTTAAAGCTCGTTAGAATAAAATTGAGATCGACTTAACTCATTAAAGTTCCTTAAAATAAATAAATAAAAGTTTCTACATGATTTTTTAAGTTTTTATCATACATAGACTCCTTAGTGCACGAGCTTGTTAACTTAACGGCTCGACTCGATAAAAGCTCAATCTCGAAATTGAGTATCAAGAGTCCAAACTTGATTTAATTCGTTTAGAAATGAACAATGCTATACTGAGTACTGACATAGTTTGGTGACATAATGATCAATAGCTCTGGACAGAGCTTCAGAGTCCATGATAACTTAGTTCGCGCCATCAGAGAACTAATTCAAAGGGACTGGAATATCCTGATCATACATGTTCATCGAGAGGCAAATTATTCGGCGGATCATCTAGCAGGACTCGCGGCTTCAGCACCACTGAGCTTACAACGTTTTGCATCTCCACCCCCAGGATTAGGAGCTTGGCTGGATCATGACATTCGCGGGGTGTCTTACCCTCGTCGAGTACTAGCATAGTTTCTTAGGTCCTAGGCCTCCTTCGTTGTACCAAAAA